ATTATAATGGGCAAGTTTTGTACCAGTTTTAGAAATATTTTTTATGATTAAATATTGTAAAGGTAAAATATTAGAAGTGTGTATTTTTTAATCCCTCAATTTATTACAAGTAATTTATGATTATAATTTAAAAGCTAAATTAAAATTCATATCGAGTAAATTTTGTACCAGTGTTAGAAATACTTTTTATGAATTATGATTATAATTAAAATTAAATTATCATAAATGTGTAAATTTTATGCCAATGGTAATAATGCACAATAACAATTGTCATAACTGATGATTTCTGTAAAAGATTCGAACAGTCATTGAAATCCACTAGTGGTGGAGCGATAAGCCACTGAACACTGGTAGTTCAGGTTGGCTGTATGGGAGTTTTTGTCGTTTTCCTGACATGTAACGTGAATCTGAGCCAGTTTCTCCTAAAAAGTCCTTTATGAAGGCATCCTTTGCTAGCCTACATATATATTTATTTTCTATTCATAATTCTCTCTTATTTATTATTTCTTAATTCTAAATCTTATTCTGAAGAGAAGAAGTGTTGCATCTATAGGTCGAAAAATATGGTCAATATGTTTACAAAATCATGTCAGTTTTGGAAAGCATTTAAATAAACTAAATAATTTGTATGTGATGCTAACAAAAAGGCATTACACTATTTCATGTACTGAATAATTAATCAGGGAACAAAGTATATTGTAACGTTCCTTTATTTTGTAACCAGAGTTATTTTATGCTTGGGATCTTTACTGTCAATTTCCTCCATCCGTTTTCTCACCAGAATCCAAATGAAGTTTTTATTTTGTAAAACAAACCGTGTTTTGCCTTTTGAGGCCACATTAATAGGTTGATAGATAAGAAAAGATTTGTAGTTTTCAGCCTTGCATTATAATTGCTGATAGTTGAATGCCATGCCAGTTAAGTTTTTAACCAACTTTGCATTAAATTGATTGTGCAGCCTTTGGGCTACAAATTTATTTGAATTTAAATTTACATTTGAACTTAATTGTTATCATAATTATCTTGCCAAAGTGGTTGACTGAGTCGTAAGCACAAAAGTGCCTTCTGTTCTGTACATCTAAACTTTATAATAGAATAAAAGTATATCTTAATAAGAATATATCTAAACTTTATGATAATAACATTTAAAGACATTGAAATCAGTATCTAAGGCTTGCCATGTAGTCAAATTTTTATATATAAATTGTACTCTTACTTTTATTATAGAGTTTTTATTACAAAAAGTTCAGATTTCTGTTAGATAAAATGTTCAAGTAATGTAGAAAATTTTCATAAAATTAAAATAAAAAGTCGACTGTTATGTCAACATACTATTAATAAAGTAATATACTCAGTGAAGGTTATTCATATACAGCTGTTAGGTTAGATTTACAAAATTTGAGAACTCTAAATTATAAGCAATTATTCCATAATCTAAGCACATTATATTTTTATAGTCAGACAAATTATGAAAATGTTATAAAGCAATAATGAAACCTGATTTTGGTCCTGATTTGAACCTATGAATTCATGCAATTACACATCCCTATAGTTCTAATATGAGGTAAATAAGTATTTTTTAGACCATGATAATTTTGATCTCCTTAGCAAAGGAAACACCAAGAGTTTACCTCATGCCACTGAAAATGTGTTTTTTTTCCCTTGGGGGGGGTGGGTTTATAATAATATGCCGAGTTGACATATGAAAAAAATGTCAAGACTCATGTGATTAATATTAAAAAGCACCAGTTTTAACTATAAAAAATTTGGCTTTTTAAAAAATATTTTAAATGTTGTGCTTTCCTAACACAAAAGTAACTTTAAGAAAAACACACAATTTATCCCTCCTGCCTCAAAGCTCTGATACCTATCAAATTCGTTAAAGTTTACGTGGACAGAAATGGCGGCATGTTTGAAGCTCAGTATTTAGGGTTACCAAGGTTATCATAATTTTTCATTTATCGCTCCAAAATGTCGCCAAACAAATTTCTCGCCAAAAAGGACTAATACTAAAGCTGTGCCTGTTACGCCTTCTGGTTTCATATTGAAAATACCCTATTTCCTATTTGAAAATAGCCTGAAGTAAGATCGAGAGTGGTCATAAATTTCGTAGACCTTATTTTCCTAATTATCTCCTCAATCACCGGTAAAGGGTAAACCAGAAATTTAGTTAAACTATTAAGTTTTCTATAATCAGTAGCAAAGCGATATGCTTTTGGATCCGTAGGGGGCAAATTATTCTTTTTTCTGCAGAGTACAATAGAGCTCGCATATTCACTATTTATGGGAGTTATAACTTTACTTTTTAACATTTCTTGTATATGGTACTCAATATTGGCCCCTTTTTCCTTATCATACCTGTACGGTTTCGCTTTACAAGGTTTAGTTGATTTTAATTCAATAGAATGAGTTACTATCTGTGTATTCCCTGGCTTATCCGAAAATAATGAAGAAAATTTACTTGCAAGTTCCTGCAAGTAAATTTTCTCTTTCAAATTTCTTTGTCCTTTCATCTTGCTTTAGATGCTGGAGGTCAATTTCTGGAACTTGTTCAGCAGCTTCCACCACCCTATCAAAGAATTCTTATTCTTATTCCCTATCAAAGAATTTGATCTCCAGAAAAAGGCATACAGTCAGATGCTAGAAGCGATTTTAAGGAATATTCTACTATTAAAATTAAATTTGAATTTCAACAGAATTATTTTTCATTCACATAAAAGAAGTACCGCAGCTCTGTTATGCTGGATTCCGGTATGTTCCGGCTATTACGATTTATCTCAAAAAATTTATTCTGTCAAGTGTCTCAGGGGCAATCTAAGCTCTGGTTACGAAATGACGTGGTACTATGAATGTGCTGCTTTATTACCGTCTAATATTTTAGTAGCTAAAGCGCCTGTGGAAATAAGCCCCCAATTTTTTTAAAAAGTGTAAATAAATATGGTTAAGAAAACGTGCAGTAACACAAATCATATGACTACTAAAATGATTGCTAATGTTTTTCTTATTATGGAACTGAGGTTAATTTATTTAATATTTTTATTACAGGGGAAATAAGTGTATGGTAACTAAAGCAAATTACGAAACTTTCACAGTGCAGATTAGAAAATTATTTCTGACTATTATTATTATTAGATTTCTAGACTCTGGCATCAATTTTGAAAACCTTCAAGGTATTAAAAAAGGGTTTTCCACAAATTTATCGAGTTGTATAAAATCAAATGTAACAATTTCTTCCCCCCTTCATTTTTTTATGTTTATTCTTCGTTTACGTACTGTGATTCATCTGGTGTAGATGAATTTCGGACCATATGGGGTGGTGGTGGTGAGGGGCACGGCTATAATATCTCCGCATGGAAAGTTATAAAAATACCTCTAACAAAAATGATAAATCTTACGAAATACAAGTTTTTGATTTTTAATACAACGAGCTGTATAATTTCAAAGATATAGTCTCAAGCACATGATTTCGTATTTACCCCTCATTTAACAATCTTGAATTTCATTGATTAAAAGTAAATACTTGTAGCACATTCACAATCTGGATTATTCTGATATCATTTCCATGGTTTTACTCTAATCGTTTCAAAATCACGCTTCACTGAAAAATATAAGTAAATTCTAAAATTAAAATAATTCTGGTATCGATGTTCTAAGCCTTTTTTTATATTGCTTTTATTACAGAGAGAAAGAAATCGTATTGGGAAAAAAAAAAAAAAAAAAAATATGTGTATTTTCATATGCAAAGTTTTCTGTTTACAATTTTTTGCTGATAAAAGTATAAAGAATATTTAATTTGATTCTTCCAGTTAATTTTTAAAATTATTTTTTGAATCTCATTTCCAAACTGTAGGGTTTAGAACCGTACCAAACTTTGCTACCTAGTTAGTTATCAGTCATAATATCTAAAGTCTGGAAACGTCCCAAAGGTCTAGAAAAATCACGTAGTTGTCACGCACAAATGCCTAAAAGATCTAAGAGCGTATGAAACGTTGTCATCTAGTTGTCACGCACCACGCCTGAGGTCTAGAAACGTATCAAATGTTGTCATCTAGTTATCATGCATAATATTAACGTCTAGAAACATACTAAATATAGTCATCTAGTTGTCATACACATTAATTTAAGCCTAGAGACGTCTCAAATAAACATAAAACTGCAAAATATTCTGGCACGTTTCATCAAGACTTTCTTAATTTTTTACCGAGCGTTTCTACTTTAATTAGACAATTATGATAGCACGAAAAAATTATAATGAGAGTTTTAAAATTTTTTATTTCACCGTGTTTATATTTTTTAGACTACATCTGTCGCAATTTTAATTGTACTTCTTTAATTCAATATTCGTCAAATATCATTACCACTTTGCATTTCTTGAACTTATGAAACGTAAATATCGCCCTTCAATTTGTGGATTTCTGTATAATATAAATGATATAAGATTTTGACCCAAATTTATTATATTTAATTCTCTGATTTTTGAAACAAGGAAAAGCAAGAATATTCATTGATCCGTACACGATTTACACTCTTTTGTAACTAGCAAACGATTGAATTCATCTTGACGAAATCTTTCAAAATTACAAAGTCCATAAATAAGCTATATACTGTACTTTACAACAGGTAATCATTAAGCAGGCAAAAAAAAAAAAAAAAAAAAAAAAAAGAATTCCGCAATTCATTCTGCTAGCAAAGAAACAGTTTACGTATTTGTATTTGATCAGTAACAATACGGTTCTTAATTACCAGCAATTTTCGCAAGCCGAAACCCATACTTTCTCTGACGAGCAAAGAAAAAGACGCGGGGGGGGGAGAAGAAAGAGATACACGTATTTTGAAATTACTACCCGAAAGGCACATTTCCCAAACAAGAAAAAGTTCGCGATTTCGAAGTAAAGGGAACTTATTCCGGTTACGAGTGATCGAATCCGATGTTCGAACAAAAAGCAAATAAATAAAGGATTAAAAAAATGCTGTGAAAGAAAGATTGTGGGGGGGGGGGGGAAGAAGACGTTTCGGCAGATAACGACCACCGATGGGCGCTCGTTAGGAGGTCGTCCTTCGGGATGCCGTTTCGGCTGGACGCTCATCTTTTTTCACGCCTGGACGCTCCCACCTTCCTCCGTCGCCGGCCCCAAGAAGCTCCCAAAGCTCCGCGAGACATGGACGCAACTTGGTCCATCCTGTCGAAGATGCTGGCTGTGCTCATGCTGGTGATATTAAGAACTGTACGAGGAGATACGACCACGGTGAGTGACCTTCCAAATATTTTAGATCTTGTCGTTCGTAGTATACTGAATATCTTGGACATGAGAGGTTGCTAATCCTTTCTTATGTCCACTCTATCAAAATATAAATATCCAGTGCTTCTTAAATTGCATTTTTTATATGGTTATGGTTCATCTTCTTCAGATGCCTGATTCCGTATAGATGAAATCATGTAAACGGACCTATTAAGCTTTCCTTTATTCTATAATGGTTTTACGATACTGGACCAGTGTTGAGGATATAGTCTGTTCTCTTTGGTATTTAAAGTCTATCTCTTGGTGTTTATTTGATCTTCTAATATATCCAATCTCCAAACTCGTTTTTATCGGTTCCTTCAATTTTTAGTTACCACCATATATTAAAAAATGATGATAGTCCCTTTTCTCCAGCCAAATAGTGGCTGAGCAGTTGAAATTTCTGATCAGTAGTATACTTCCGTGTCTGATCTTTGGCGAGATGCGCAATATGCTGGCTGCAAGGCAGTTTTCGCCATTTTGAGTAACATTATTGCTTCAACAAAAACAATTTTCCGTCATGAATATTTTTTACAAAAATGTCACATCAATAATCATAAACCTCGAATGATTTTTCATAAGTAATATAATACTCATATTATAACACTTTTCTAAGTAATATAATACTTACTTTAAGCGTTACAAGTTTCCATGAAAGCTTGAAACATAAGGAGATATTTATTATGACAAAACACTCTGGGATTATTTAGCTAGAAGGGATGTTATAGTGCAGAGCTGTTTAAATGATACTGATTAGATTTACAATTACGCGCGGGAAAAATACGAAATCTTTCCAAGCAGCTAACCCGTTAGACATCAAGATTCAAACCCGGGTGAAGTACCAGTATCTTATCAATTTGGTAACTGGTAGACAGATACAGGAAACTGCAATATTCCGCATAAATGTAATTATAGTTCGCATAAATGTAATTAATAATAATATAAAATAAATATGAATAAATGTAAATAAAATAATATAAAATAAATATGAATAAATAAATATGCATAAATGTAAGTAATGCCTTTTCGCATAAATGTAATTATAGTTAATTTTATTAATTATTATTATTATTGTTATTACAAATTTCGCGACTTTTACATTAAACCACAGATAAATGAATATTATTGATTAAAGCATTGACTATTATAAATTAGCTATTTTCTCATGAAAGTTACTAAAATAACTTAATCGATTATTCCTTTACATTTTAAGTCGTTTCGTTTCGACAAAAATGTTTCAATGTATTCTAAATCCTATATCCTTTAATTTGTCCTTTCTTTCATAAGCCAAACTTAAAAGAGACTAATAATCATGATTCCATTAATTTTGTTCATTAATCATTTATGTTGCCATCAGTGCAGCAAATAAAACACTTTCAGCCAATTTGAAAGTTTAAGAAGGATTTGAACACAGATTTTCCGTGGTAAAACAAATATTTTGAATAATAAAAATATTCTGTGATGTGGAATTGTTTAATAAGAGTAACAAATCTGCAGAATTTTTAACGTAGATTTCTGTTTAAGAATGTCATACAGTATAACATTCTCAGCACTAAACTAGGCTTTAGTTTAAACAGTTTTTCTTATTTAACACTAAAAGAATTACTTTCCTTCAATTTACAGATAACGAATAATTTATTTTGCAATTCATTCATTTGTATTTGAAAATAGAATATCGTATATAATGAATACATGCTTTACAAAAGGTATATTATCTGAGAGACCATACAAAGATATGTAGGAATGACTCTTCTTTCAAATACAAGACAACAGAGAAACATAAATGTAAACTTTCAATATTCTCTCAAAACGCTTAAAGTTTTAATTTATGAATATAGCACACCAGTTATATTCGGGTTTTTCTGAAAAGAATTGAATGACAACATTAAAAAAACTTAGCTTAATTTAAATTGCCTCTAAATTTTAATTTAAGTATTTAAATTACAGATTATCTTTAGAGAACATAAATAAATTTATAATTTCATTTTAATTTTTTTTTTAGAAAATGAAAATTATTGTAATTCAAAATTCTCAGACATAACATTTTAATCTCTTGAAATTGGATGTTTTATTAGTCCCATGTTTCAAATAAAATTAAATGAATTTTACATATGAAGAATTTGCTAACTAAAGATAAAATTTATTTATGATACACTTCTAACTGAAGTTAACAAACAAATATGAAAACACTTTAATTTCAGTGTAGTAAGTAATAACGCTATAGTCGTAAGGCAGCGGCCTGAAAGTAAAATTGCCCGAGGGCCGCATACACGATCTGAAAACAGCTGACTGGCCAGAATTTTTTTTAAAATTACATTAACAAAATAAAAAAAAATTTAATAAATTTTAAATTTTGCTTACTAAATATTTTTGAAAACATGCATAAACAATAATAATAGTATCGCAAAGGAAAAAAATTCCAACTTATATTTAGTTTCCATCTGAAATCTAAAGTTTGGTACCTGCAAAGCAATTTTGTGGTTACTTCATGTAATTCAAATATATTGAAACCTAAATATTAAATTTTCAGATTAACGTTTATTTAAAAAATTAACATGTTTAATTAATCATTAAATAACTTACTTTAATTTAAACTGAAAAAAATTATGAACACTATCTTAATTTTTCAGAATAAATTTCCCAGTAGGACAAAACTTGAGAATAAATGCAACTTAGTCTCTTTCTTTTATTCATTAAATTTATTTTTCTTCGACGCATAAATAGAACCACATATATTTGTATGTAAATAGTTTACAGCTTGACATTTTATGGCGTTTAGATTTTGATAACGTTTGTAGCTTCGGAGAGAAATTACTAGAAATTATCTTCATCACGGATCATACCTGCTTATCGGTCAATCGAGTTTCTTATTAATTAACAACTGTGAAAATAGCGCTGTTCACATATAAATGTATTCCCGAACAAGAAAATCATTCTTAATGGAAAAATTAGTATCTGAGTTTATTTAAATTTTGACAGCTACGAATAAAAATTTATAAAATCTGTATTTCCAAATTTTCGAATAAAATTTATATCACTTTGCAAATTAGACAGCTTCATTTATAGTTTTGCTGATGCATTATTCACGTTTGTTTTCATTGTATAGAAAATAATGTAAACTCAGGCTTCAAATAATTAAATCTTGAAATCTTTGTAAAACTGTATTTGCAACAAGTTCAAAATTGAAATATCTTCGTCTCCCTCGTAACATTGCTTAGTGGCTGCATGTGACCTGCAGGTCACCAGTTTGAGACAATTGTCGTAAGGCATTTGAGGCCTTTCTGCCAAAAAGGACATGTACGTATCCATATGAAGAAGAGAAGATTTCCAACGTCAGTAACAAACTTCAGTCTATCTATATATGTCTGAACTTGTTCTCTAGAATACAACCTAGTATAGAATACAACTAGGAGAATACAACCAAAGGAGTAGAAGTTGGAACTAAACCGATGAGGGTAAAACTTAGTTATCTCTATGTTTTTGATTGTTTTGTTATTTCGAAGTTGTATAGAATTAATTTCAGACATCCTCTTTAAACGAAAACTAGAACACTACTTTTCACTCTAGTTTACTTTTCATGGTATAAGCGACAGATAAAGCTGTAGTTTATATGAGGTAACATATATTAGATGATGATCTGAAAACAAGTCCCATATGATGCTTAAATAATAAATTTTTTGTATATTAATAATTAAAATCTCTAAAATATCTGATGAACAATTAGGTTTATTTGAGTATAGACGACTGTTTGCATTTGTCTTCTATCATTATTCCAAGCTGTATGTTTGGAGTTCAGGTCATCTTACTAATCTAATGGGGTATCCTAAATTGAAAATAGTATCCATGTCTGCAATTGCCGTTTCGTGCTTCTTAACTTTATAAAGAACATTGATGACAACAATAAAGGTTTGAAAGATTTTTCATAAAACTTAATAGAAAAATCTTGGAGTAAGAATTTGATGTCAAGAAGCAAAAATCACTGAAAAAAAGAAAGCTACATTTGCAAAATAAAGTAGTCATTAAAATACCTGTGAATATTTAGGATGGGCAAGTTATAGCTTAAAGCGTCAGAGTATCTAAGAAGAAACCTTTATTATAAATATTTTCTGTCTGAAGATGCTGGGAATGAAGAAATAAAAATAGCATTCGATATTTGGGAAACCAAGTTCTGCCTATTGACCTTTCCACTTAAATCTCTTTGGGCCGTTGATTTCTATTGCAGTTACTCACACACCAAATTGTCCGATTCTGTTCGAAAGCTTACTTCCGGGATCACGATAGTGAATGTTGTGGATGAAAATTCTTTGCCTCGAATGGTTGCCCAGCCTAATAGCTTTCTTTTCTTTTTCAGAGCACCCCTCTGACAGGACCTGCGACTGCTCCTGGTGAGTCTTAAATTCTTATTCTTAATATGCTGCTTAATGATACTTCTGAAAATGTACACAGGCTAAGTCTAGCATTTTCTAGGCTAAGAGCCTAGGAAAGGGGCCCCTAGGCCAGGGGTTCTCACACTTTTTAAATCCTGTACCACATAAATGCGAATAAAAAATATATGTACCGTCATGTAACAAAAGGAGATTCATTGCATAATCTTTTGAATGTTCATTTAAATATCTTGCGTAGAAATTGAACCAGCAAAAATAACGTAATATCAGTAATAGGTAAAAGTATGGGGGACACCAGCGGTGTACCATAGGTCAACTGGTAATGCCTTCCCCTACGAACTCTTTGAAAAAAAGGGGGGGTAATTGCAAGTTTTATAAGAATTTGCATAGACTGAAGCTTTTCAAAAGGTCTAGAGTTTGCCTATTATGGTACATCGTGCAATTCCACAGTACGCCCCGCATCCAGTATTTATTAAAAATAATGGTGTAGGGCATAAGTAGATTACAAAATAGTCTACAATTTGAGATTCACAAGATAAATTGAACATCTGATTGGGGTGCAACAAAAATAGGAGATAAACATAATTAATAAACAAATAAACATAATGAGATAATTATAATTAGTACTGGCAACACAATGTTAAAATGAGTTGTTATAATAATGCTAAAGAGGTGGGTGTTCATGGGTTATTTCAGATATATTGGTTTATTGCAGTTTATAAAGTTCACAAGCGGAGCCATTTTGTCCATAATCACAGCATGTAAAAGTTCACTAAGTTTGCAATTTATGCTGTATGTGGACTTACACTTGACAGAGATCTAGGCCGTAGGAAGAGAGTCGTTGCATAATTTTCTGAAACTTTGGATATTGATGTTTATCTTTAATTAAAAACCTTTGGAATGCCAGGAGGTCAGTTCTTGGAGATTTTATGTGAATATCCTCAGTTAAGGGGCATGAGAAAGTGTAATGATCAGGAGTTCCCTGTTCTCCACATATACAGATATCAGAATTTGCCAAATTTCTTGCATAGAAATGTGTGGGGAAGGGTCCATGTCCTGTTATAAAGTAATTTAGTGAAGGATTCGAGTTCAGAGATGTGAAGCTTACATTGGGAATCAAGTTATATGTGCGTCTTCCCTGTGGAGCATTGTTCCACAAATCTTGCCAAGATTTTGAAGCAAGTTGTTTTAGTTGGTAGTTGAAATTTGAGCGAGGCCACGGAATGATGATTTCAGTACCATCTTGATTAATAGCTGCTTCTTTGGCTAGTTCATCTGCCTGATCATTACTAAAATGGCCACTATGTCCTTTGATCCATGAAATTTGAATTTTGTAGTTTGGAATTTTGCCAAGAAGAGAATTTATGTCGGATATCAATGGAGATGAAGTTTAGGGATTTTTAATAGCTAGAATAGCTGCTTAGGAGTCAGATGTTATGCTAAATTCGTTGAGATTTTTGAGAATGGCTATTTCAGTCGCTGCTTTTATGGCTGACAATTCCGCTTGGAAAACACTATTATTATTATGGAGATGGCCTTTCCATTTGATGATATTTGAGGGGGTAATTTGAAAAAAGACTACGGAACCAACTTTTCCTTCAAGCATTAGCAAGTATAAGCAATTGGAGATGAACTTGAATTTTCTTCAGACGTGGGGAATATTATTTTGCTGAAGCGAAGCGCTGGATGGATAAGATAGGGGTTAATTTTCTTTTCATAGTTGGATGGCCAAAAGGTATGGTTGTTGAATTCTGCGGCTTGGTTAAGTTGAAGGACTTTCATATAGGTGCATTCCATTTCTGCACTGATTGATAACGGAAGAGTACCAGCTAAAGTATCAAGTGCTATATTTGAAGTTGTGCGATACGTCCGAGTAATGCAGAGAGTAAAAGGCCTTTTGAATTGAATTTAAACATTTGATCTTTCACACTGTCATTGGTTGTGCCCAAATTCCGGCTCCGTAATTTACCATTTTTGAAATGACTGTTTTTAGAAGAATACGTGTTATATGGGGATTTAAGGCCCAGTTATGTACATGCATACGTCGTAGGCAGTTAGCTATTGATGTTGTACGAAGTTTAATATTTTGTAGATGAGGAATCCAGGAGAATTTCTTGTCGATTGTTAAACCGAGGTACTTGATTGTATTCACTGATTTGATCTTTTGATTGTCAATTTTTAGAGCTAAAGCTTTAGTTGTATTTTGTCCTGGTTTATGGATCACTAAGACTTGGGACTTACTATGTGAAATTTGTAGTTTTTTGAATTTTTCAAAGTTGGTTAAATAACTGGAGTATTTCGTTACAATTATTCTGTAAAATGTCTCTGGTACGGCCACTTGTAATAAAAGCTATATCATCTGCAAAAGCTACAATTTTTAAGTGATCTGGCCATGGATAAGCAATGATGTTGTTGAAGCTGATATTCCAGAGATCTTCACTCATGCAAGACCCCTGAGGACATCCTCGGACTTGATTACGCACAATTTCAGTGTTGTTCATCTTACATAGTCTGCGAAATCCTGCTATAGGCGATCATATTTTTATTAACCTGTCGCCTGAAAAACTCTAAAAAACATCGGCGCGTAATATATTGAGGTAATATATTGATAATAATATGAGAGGTAATATATTGTTTCCCTGGAAAAACAATACGACCTCTTCCTCTCTCCTCGGTAAATTAAAAAATTATCAACATTTTTTTACAGTTCTTAAATTGAAAAAAAAATTACAACTATATTACACGGTTCGTCAAATTTAGCAAATAGAAGTCGAAAGTCAGAGTGAAAGTACATAATTTACATAATTTGGGGACATTTTTTTGTAATGTTTAAATTGAAAATAAACTATTACGGTATCACGCGGTTTTTCAAATTCGGCAAATAGAAATAGAAAGTGAAAGTACCCTTTTACATAATTTGGCGGTTTATTGCGGGGCCGTGAAAATCAAGTTGTACCCATTGGAAAGACACTAGAGACCTTTCAGGAACAGGTTTTTTATATAGGCTTTTATAAAAACTGTTTCCTCTTAAACAGGATACTGTCTGACTAAGATAATGATTGATAATTCTAAAACTAACGAAACCGTTGTTAGTTAAGTTAACGTTGTTGGAATATTTAAGAAAAACCCGTATATTTCAGTAACACCTATTTGTAAATATACAAATCCTTTTATAGTTAAAATGACAGAAGTAAATAAATACGGTTTTAGATTTCAATGTTTGAAATTAAGTAGTGAACCTTTAGAAATTCATTAAGATTATTTTCAGCGGTGTGCATTTGGATAAGTTTTCAAGATTTTGAAAAAAATTAAAATTTAAATAATGATTATTACAAAAATTCAATCTAATTTTTTAGGAGTACATTCATCTAAAAAATAAAAAATATATTAATTCAAATTATATTATATGTTACCGTGAAAGATCGAAACTGGAGAATGTCGACTTTCACCGGAGAATGTCAACATTCACCAAATACGTCGGTGAATGATCGAATATTGCATTACATTTTTGTACATTCGGACCCTCACCGGTGTATGTCGACAATCACAGATATGCTCTGGTGTAGGTCAAAAAGAGAGGAGTATATGTACACGCTCTCGTTGCAAAAGGAAGTGTTCCACAAATAAATGCAGTTGTAAAAGCAAGGGCCTCTTGTGCAATTGAAAGTGTCCTAATAGTTTAAGTTGTTGCAAATAATAAGATTTGAATCACGTAATTTAGTAAATTTTTAACTTCTATTATTTTCCTTTCTCATTTTGAATGTACAGTGTGTTTCAAGTTCTTATATTCTTAAGTTCTTATTTTAAGTCCCAAGTGCGTTTTTTCGCGACCGAATTACGGAGAAGAAAATGTAATATTCTTATGTGTTCAACATTCACCATTAGTAGATGGTGAATGTCGACATTTACCGGTGTAAGTCAGAAATAAGTGTTTTTGAAAAATATTTCGGACATACAACAAGCGACTATGTGAATGTTGACATTCACCGTGAAAGCGATCTCCATTCAGTGTTTCACATAACATTTTCAAATTTTTAATTATTTTATTTATTTAATTTTTTTAAATATAAAATAAAATTATTATTTTTTCATATCATACAAAATGAAGTATATATGGTTATTTATTTTGAGAGTAATAAATACATTGATCATATAATAGTGGAATAGCTTTAATTTTATAGCTTTTCATTTTTTGATTCGTTAATTTCAAATTACAGTTTTTTTCAAACTCTGAGACGTCTCTATACGGTACGTCTCTGGGTCTGCACTTTATGATATGTTCATTTTTTGGTCTCATTTCATATTTATCTTTTATTTCGAAACTTATGACTTTTCATTTTCTCCGTAATTTGTTAAGAGTATGTCATATCTAAAAGTGAAAAACATATATATATATATATATATATATATATATTGTTATAAAAACTTGGCATGAAACTGGGTCGTGCAAAGTGATCCAGTTCGATCATTTTGACTCGATCTTTTAATATCGTTATTTAACTATATTTTCCTTCCCCCTCCCCGCTGAAAAAAATTTGGTAATTTTTAGACATAGTCATTTGAAAAAGATGGTGCTCATAAAAGAGAAAAGAGAAAAGCGAGGGGGAAGAAAAAGAGTTTCAAGTCTTAAAGTATATTTATTTAAAATATTCATTTAATAATAAATTAAACAGTGTTCAGTTAGAATTTTAAAATGTAAAGGATCGAATTCCTATCTTTGGTTGGTTGGTTATCTGAATATGATAAAGCACACTAGGGCTATCTTTTTGAGGAGAGGGATGCTTTCGTGGAGGACTTTCTAACGAAAGTGACACGTATTAACGTTACTCATGGAGAAAACCCTGTTAACCAAATATATAACCATCTCGTTCACCTGGGTTTTTAACAATGGACGAACTACCAGTATTCAGCAATCTTTAACCGCTCATTTACTGTCTATCTGACCTCTGTTTAGACGTAAGACAGTCGTCCCATAATTTTGGCGCCCTTAAACAGTTTCC